TCTTGAAAGCCTTTTGATCTAATTTCCAAGAATTTCTGAGAAATGACAAGGATGGAAACTAAATGCCAAACTTAAAAAAAAATTGATTTGCATTTAAAAATAAAAAAAGAAAAAGAAAAAAAAAGAAAGGAACAGAAAAGAAAAAAAAAGAAAAAGGATGATAGTGAGAATGTAATAAGGAGTCAAGATTAAAGATAAAAATGAATGGTACTCCTGAGAAGTGTGCTGAATGAACAAGAAAATATGCCTTCCAAAACTTACCTTTCTCAGGAATTTCATTTCTAAAACCCTTTGAACTTTCCCTTTTTCTTGGTATCCATTCCTATTTTGTGAACCCTTAGCCCCATTACAACCAATTGAAAGCCCTTTAGACCTTAAAATGTTTTCTAGATAACTGTAGAGATTAGGGTCGTTTGCCAAGCTTATGGTAGTGTTCGAAATGTTTTGATTTGAGTGATACTGAAACACAAGCCTAAACACTTAGAGAGAAATTAAGGAAAATGTATCTGTAGTCTGGTCATAGTAAGCATGACATGAATAATTGTGTGGCTTCTACTTTGATAATCCTACAATCATCTATTAATAATATTTCAAATTGGGTTCCTTAAGTTGGTTTGAGTTCTTCATTCTTTATTGTTCATGCTTGTGGTGATGGTGATTGCTTGGGGACAAGCAATGTCTTAGTTTAGGGTATTTTGATAGGTGTCTAGTTCACATTATTTTTAGTGGTGTTATGTTTGAGTTTTCTAGTTTATTTGTGTTAGTTTTTCCCTTAATTCCAATTGTTTTCCTTCATTCTGCACATGTTATTTGGGTGTCTCAGTTTTGCAGGAATAGCTTTGTTATAGGTTCATAAACTTGGAAACGAGAGGCATTTGATGAAGCATTTGATGAATGGAAATGAGTTCAAGCCACTAAAAGCACAAAAATAAAGCCATATCAACTTTTGGATTGCACTATGGAGAAAAGATACATGAAAAAGAACACTCCCAAGCCTTAAAACACTGTCAAAGAGCATTTTGGTGAAGTTAAGATAAGTCCACTGCTAGTGGGTTTTTCCCACTGGCTGTGGACCTCACTAGAAAATGGCACAGTGGCGTAAAAAATCCACTACCAGTGGATTTTTCCCACTGGCCGTGGTTCTTACTGCCTGGAAGGGAAAATTGAGCATGTCTGGGTCCCTGTCACGATCCACTGGCCGTGGGTTTTTCCCACTGCTAGTGGGTTTTGCACGTTCTGCACTTCTCTTAATTAGCGGAGTAGTTTCTGATAAAAAAAGAAAACAAAAAAAGAAAAAGAAAAAGGAACCACGAACGAAAAAGTTTATTTTTTTATTCTTGGGCAAATAGAAGAGAAAAAGAGGAGGAGATCAAGAGATCAACATTGAAGAACATTGGTTTTTGGCAGACTTGGGAAGAAGATTCAGAGGACATAGTGAGAATCTTTCCTCTATTTTCTGACCCCTTGTTTCGTTTTTGATTTTCTTCTATGTTGGGGTTCGATTTATTGTATTGTGGCTTAGTAATCATCATTTCTATGGCACACTAAATCTCATTCTTGGGATTAAGGAAAATATGTTTATGTATCAAATTTGAATACTTTGAATTTCTCTGTTATTGGATTTTTGTTTTCTATTCATTTCCATGAGAACCTAATGCTTCTAATGGCTTAGAGATAAGGTTAGATGAGTTTAAACAATATGGATGATTGAGAGATTGACATATCGTTCGAAAAGCATGGAATTGAACCTGGAGATTTGGGTTACGAAAGTAGACAAAGCTCTTTGAGGGGTAATTGGATTTTCATAAAGCGTAAGGGATCTACTTAACGAATTGAACGTGGCTCTTCGGTAATTAGGTACGTTAGTGGGGTTTTGAGAGAAATGCACTAATCAATTAAGGAAAATACACCTTAGAAATAAAAATTGAATAATGGGGAAATGAATTGCTTTAAATTTGGTACATGACATATGAACCTACCGACTCCCAAGAGTTTTCTTATTCATCTTGATTCTCAAGGAAGTTTTCAATCTGAATCTTTTGTCAATAGTTTTTTGGTTTTCAATTCATTCTGCAACATATTTTCTTTGAAATGATTTGTCTGGATAATTGAATCACTGTGAACTAGTACTTGGGCACAATCTCTAAGGGAATGATAACTTTTTATTACGCGATACCCTGTACGCTTGCGGAACGGCTATCATGTATCCTAGATGAATGAGGCTACTGCGTGTGGGGGCCTAATTAGAGATGCTAAGGGCCATTTTATCTTAGGTTTCTGCAAGGAATTGGATCCCTGCTCCTTGGTAGAAGCTGAGTTATGGAGCATGTTGTTGGGGCTAGAGCTTTCATTCAAAAATGAATTCACATTGTTTGGATAGAAAGTGATGCTAAAGAGGCTTTGTCCCTCATCCTGAATATTCAAGACCATGTTCACCCTCTCTTTGATCTTATTTCTAGAATTAGGAATGCTATAAAACCTATTTAGTTTGTAATGTTTACTCATGCCTATAGGGAAACTAACCAATGTGCTAATCATTTAGCAAAGCTAAGACTAGATGGTTCTCTCTTCTTGTATTGATTCAGTCTCCCCCTTCCTTTCTTCTGTTTCTTTGTCTTGATTCTTTAAGCATTTGGACCCTTAAGTTAGGTCTCTAATTTTCTATTTTTCTAGACTTTTTACTCCTTTATTTAGAAAAAAATAATAATATTTATCCATGTATTCTTAGTTTGAGTACATATATTAGATACCCTATAGTTATACAAAATGTCAATATAGACTTTCGAACTTAGTGTTAAAATATTATTACTCGACTTGATACTTTATCTTAAAAAACATCTTAGATGATATATAAAACATCAAATTGTTTCGTTATTGATGGTGTTTAACAAATCTTTATGTGTACCCATAAGATATTCTAGGAGCATGTTTTTTTATTGAATTAAGGATATTTATTTAAATTTTAATTAATATTTTGTTTGCAGTAAATTAATAACTTAATAACTAATTACATTAATTGATTTTTAATCATCTTAATAACTCAACATTCTTTAATTTAAAAGTTTTCATGATCATTTTTAAAATAATTTGTTTTAAATGTTATTATTTTCTACTTTTTTTATAAATATCTTTATATATAGAAATAAGGTAACTTAGGAATAGTTTATTTTTTCTTAAATTAAGGTTTTTTTAACTTGTATTTTAATATTAAAATCACAATAAATTAATTATCTTATCATTTATCACACTTTTACATTTTTAATTATCACATTTATCTAATATTACACTTCATATTCTTTAATTTTTAAGTTATCAAAATATTTTTAAAAATTATTTTTTATTCTAAATATTATTAATTTTATGTTATTTTTGTTAGTATCTTTATATTTATATTTGAAACAGAAGTGAGAATTGAGTTACTCTAGAAGTAAATTTTTTATAATAATTATTCTATTTAATAACTCATTTTGCATTTTTAATTTTATCAACATAAATGATAAATTAAGAGTGTTCTTAAATAAAATAGATTTTCAAAAAAAATTATACATATAAAAAAACTACTTAATATTTCACTGGACAATTTTATTTTAACATTTATTATATATTTTAAAAATATCAGTAATATTGATTATAAAATTATATATCTACAAGTATCTAATTTATCTAAAACGTAATATAGATAGTTAACATCAACATATAATATTATTTTTACTCTACTCAATTTATAAAAAGTTAATTTTAAAACCTCAAATAAAACAATTGATAATCTAACTTAATTTACTTTTACTCTAACTTGTACTAAATAAAATATAAAAACATGTTATTTAAATTTATATTGTGTGATGCCAAGAAAAGACAAGTCCTTGCATCAACTTAAAAAAGAGCTTATGCCACTTTTTAGCAACCATCACCGGGGGTTCTTAATATACAAAAGACTCAGTGCCTCTACTACAAGAAGCTATTTTGGTTAATACACAAAAGGCACTTTGCCTGTTCACTACTCCACATTATGTTCCAAACTTTGTTGTATTTCTAACACCCCGTTTAGTACGTAAATGAAAAGTCTCAGTTAAATCACGTTCTAATATAAAAGTTATATAACTTGACAATATGTTTAGGTTAAGTTTAAATACTGATAAACATATATATTTATTTTAATATTATTAATTATATTTATAAACTTTTTACTATATTTTTAAACACACAGTACCCTTTTCAATTTACCCTTGCTTGTCCAAGCATTAGAAAATGGTTGATAATTGATCTCACTTTCGGGTCTGGACCACGGGCTTTGGAAATGTTAATATCTCTAAGTAAAGAACAATTCCAAAGGAGCAAGAAACTAGCCTTATGAAGCTAGCTTGTTTCCTTACGGAACACGACCAAGACACTTTTCTAGGTTCCACCAATCCAATGAAATCAATGCTATCATCGCGTCCGAACATTGCTTTGGATTCTTTTTGAAGTAGCCAACTATAGCATATTCTTGAAATAATACGTCATAATTCTCATTCTTTGTATAGAGTTTCCATTATTTGTCTTTAATGTTAAATTGATAAATATCATTTTCGCATACAATACCTGGTAGGACGTGGACATTTTGCCACATTGGAAAAACTGGGCCCTCCGAATACATCAATTCTAGCTTATCGATTTCGTCCAATATGGATCACTTGATCAACTAATCACCACTTTTCTGATGCAACTTTTTAAAAGTGTCACTATTCCAAGATATTAATACAAGATACTTTAAAAATTAATTAATATATTTTCTAGTAATCCTGGCTTTGGTGAATCCCCACAAACGTATAAACCATATTAATGATCGAAAATATCAAGAAAATAAGATTCAATATTACTATGCATTTAGTTTGCCTTATTTTAAACAAATAGCCTTATTTTATAAAAGAGTTCTTTAGATAATTATTTATCAAAATTTATACTAGGATATCCATGGACTAATAACATGTTAAGGAGCTTTTTGTTATATTTAAAAGAAATATACTTTTTTCTATAATAATCTTAGTAAACACGCTAAGTGAAGGCATATTAAAAGAAAAAGAGCATATGCAAGGTGTACATGCATTTTACCGCCATCAATGACAAAAAGTTGGCAAAACATAAATTAAAAGAAAAAAAGGAAAAGCATCAAAGATAATTTTTTCTTTTTTCTTTTTTCTTTTTTTTTTAATTGGTTTGGCTGAAAATTGAAAAACACCAAATTTCTTAGTACTGGATTTTTAGAAATCTTCGTCATAACCAATATCATCCTCAACCTTCTCTGCGGCGTCATCAGCAATCTTGTCTTCAACATACTCGGCACCTTCAACAAGTGCGATTCCACCTAGAACTCCAGCAACCGCGCCCACAGCCAATCCTGTCCCCATCCCCCCAAACTTACTTTTCTTTTTCTCCTCCACAGGGGCATACCCGTACGACGCCGTTTGCTGAGAATACCCCTCTCCATACGACGAAGTCTGCTGGGAATACCCTTGCCCATACGACGCCGTTTGAGGCGGTGCATTATAAGGATATCCCGTAGGAGGACCCCCAGAATAATAAGAATCCTTGCCCGGGGCGCCGTATGGGTACCCATAAGGCTGCGGCGCGGGAGAATAATCCCTCGACGACGCCGTTTGCGGGGGAACACCATAAGGAGGAGCGTAGTACCCACCCTGCGAACGGTAGCCACACTCCCTGATGGTGACCTTAACGTCAACCTTTCCTTGTGGTCTTCCTGAGGGACGCTTCAGCGTGAGAGCACGGCTGGCGCGGTCGCCGATACCAACTTCGTCGAGAACGTCCACTAGCCTGAGCCGAGCTGAGCCGATGATCGGCTTGGTGGCTTCTTCGGAGCCGGCGTGGACCACGTCGATGTAAAACGTGAGGTCCTGAAGGGGTTCGGGGGGTAAAGGAATGAGGAGGGTCTGGTCCCAGTTGGCTTCGGTGTCGCCGTCTTCATCGACTCGTGTTGAGAACTTGTTGGTGGGGTCCACCCAAACGACGGCGTATGGCCTGTTCTCGCCGTGGCGCCAGTTCACGTTTTTGAGAGTGCGAGCCGATGTTAGCTTAGCTTCGAGTTCGTAACGTGAAGCCATGTTGAAGGTGGTGGTGTTTTGAGAATGTGAAGTTACGTTGGCGTGGGTTAAATGGGTTTTATAGGTAAGTGGGGATATGGGTATTGGTTTGTTTTAGCACTCGAGTTTTTCGGCTAATTACATAAATGCAACGATTGACCTCGCATACAGAGATAGAAATACGTTCACGTTAACTTTTTTTAAAGCTTTCGGTCTGGTTTATTTAATTAATAAATTAAAATTTAATTTTAAAAAATATTTATTAAATTTATTATAATAATTTATTTAAAATTTATAATAATATATTAAATAATTTTATATAAAAATTATAATATAATAATATATTACATTAATTAAAATTTAAAATAATAAATCTTAAATTAAAAAATTTAATTTTTTTGTTAGAGTTAAAAAAAAATTATTACATACTTTTTAATTATTTCTTTTAGATATAAATCTTATAAATTTAATATATATATATATATATTTAAATGATTTAACAGTCTATTTATGAGGAATGAGTCAATACGAAGTAGACCATTAAAAAAATTAATAAGACAAATCAAACTTTTAAAAAGAATAAATTAGACTTAATAAAAAGTCTGTGAGAAACTTGCTTAATCTTCTAAATTATTAAATAGATCAAGCTTATTTATAAAAAGTCTATCTTAACTTAAAATACTTCATCCCTACTTATATGATAAAGAAACATATTAATATTTTATTTATATATTTTTTAAAAATTTTCACTAAAATATTTTTTTATAATTATATTATATTAAAAAATTTTAAATATAAAATATTTAAATAAAAGTAGTAATAGAGATGTATGAATGATACTAAATATTATTTTTTTGAATTTTGTATATAAAAAACAACAAAAAGAATAGAAATAATAATATACTATTATTTTTTAGTCATTTAATTAATATAACATAAAGAAAAGTAATGTTTTTCAGATTCTGTACTCTCTTCGAAATAAGTAAATAAAATATATGAGAAAAATGACTGAAAAGTTTGAAATATAAAAATAAAGGTTTATTTATTTAATTTTTTTATGTCATATTTTAAATTAAAAATAAAAATACATTTTTTATAATAAATATAAATAAAAATTAATTTTATAAATTGGTGCATGAAGGGTAATCTGGATAAGGGATAGTTTTGTGGACTAAAAATAATGATGGGACATGGTGGGGGTGTATATATGCAGAGGGAGGGAACATCTTGGGTGGGGAATAAAAAAGGAAAGTGGCAGCTCGGGAATTAAGTACTTAACTGGGGTTGGTGCTTGGAACCTCCCTCTCCCTCACCCCTTCACTTATGCATATTATATTCTCCAAGAGGGATAACTTTTACTTACATTTATTGAGTATGTACTTATTTAGAGATAAGAAAAACATTAATGTTATAATAAAAAAATAAATTTTATTTAGTCATTATTTTCTTATTTATTGATTATTAAAATATTCACCCGTTTGAATTTCCTAGGTGTAGCATGCTGCATGCGTGACAAGGAATGGAATAATGGTATATGAAAAGGACAAAGAAAGGTATTAGGTATTCTCTATCGATTTGGACTTTGTTTTTATTTGCTAACCAAAGTTACGCAGTTACGGCCATAAAATATATTGCTATTTTTAAATATCTATTTCTTTTCTTTAAATCAGTTTTATTTAAAATGTTTTTGTTTGTTAATTAAATTTATAATAAAAATATTTAAATAAAAAGTGACAATAAATACATAAGAGTAATAACAAACCAATTATTGATAAAAAAAAAAAACTGCCAAATTTCTTGAAGAAGAAAATTTTTACTTTAAAATAACTCCGTTACAAATATTATAAAAACAAAAAATCTTCGAGGGCTGCTTATCTTTATGTTGCAACCGAGAAACCTGCGTTTTAAAGCAACTAAAATTTTAACTTTGTGCATAAGGAGGTTGAGTTCCTTTATAAATATTTAAATCACTCATAAATAATATTCTATCAAATAACAAAGGAATTAAAAATAATAATCTGTAAAAATAAAATTATATTTTGATAAAACAAATATACAACTTTTCAATGAACCAAACATTTAATCAAATTATATATTGTTATTATTTATTTGTTTTTAATATAAAGGTATTTCAAAATATACTTAAAATAATATATATAATTTTAATATACTGTTAGTATACAAAATTTATACTATTAATTAAAATATATTATAAATACAATTTTGATGTTAATTATTATTTATTGTATAAATCATTTATTTTTATTGATATAATAATTTATAAAAATATTCACTATTTGGTGACGCATCACAAGGAAAAATGCTTGGTCCGTTGCCACACGGAAAAAACACGGTACATGACTGCATGGTTGTTTTTATTGGGAAAGAACTATTATTGGTCAAAAGGGACTTACTAGTATCTAGTTTAATTTCAACGTAAACATGATGCAAACAAGAACGGAATTAGAATACAGAAATAACAAAAACGACTTGGTTTTCTTAAATTTAATAAAATTTTTAATAAATATGTGTAGGAGAACTTATTTTTTATATTTTTTTTGAACTTAATAAAAAATGAATATTTTTTATAATAAATTTAACCAAAAATACAGTTAAATTATAAAATAATTTGCGCATTGTTAAAAATTGAAAAAAAAAGTGATGTTCTTTAACTTTTAATTCTAATGTATTTGAATTATAAGGTTTTATTTTAAGATTTAAATAATATTTTTGTTTTTATATTTTATTTACATTTGTAAGTTATTTTCTGTGTAAAAAAAAAATTGTATATTAGCCTTTATATGTACATATAAATTATATAATTTTTATTTAGTATCTGTACTTACGTTTAAATTAAATGATATTTGCTTTTTTCTACATTGTGCTTATGAATTTAATGAGTCTTTATGTATAATTTTTTTAGGGACCATTGATAAACCTATACTTTATAGTATTTTTATATTTTTTGTCATTATTTGATGAGAGTTTTGTAAAGTATTATATTAATTTATTTATTATTTGTTGTAGTTTAGTATAAAGAGGTTATTAGTATATTATTGAAGATTTTTTTTTTGCCACAATTACATAAAATTTGAGGTGAGAAACACACTCTTACTTAACAACTTCACTAGGAGTGTTTTGATGACATGTACCATCATGCTTATGGACATGCGCGATTGTATTTCTTATCTGGTGATTTAAATTTAAATTATTTTTTGGATTTTGAGAATATTATTTAAGGCGCAAGCGTATCAGCGATAAGGAAACTTTGATTAGGCTAACTTTTGATAACTCTTAAAACCGTTTGCAAGTGGAGATCATAGATGAAAATGTAGAATACCTCTCCGAAGTTTGAGTAAGTAATCGATAACACATCTTGAGAATAAAAACTCTTCTCACTTCTTTTCCTTGGGATTCTTATAGTTTATTTTTCTATTTTGAATGAACATGAGTACTTTTATATTAGTTTACTTTGTTCATATCATTATGAATTGCTAAATTCATAATTAGACTTATGGTAGATCCTTTCATGTTGAGTTGTCCAGCTATATTTCCTTTCACCACTTCAAATCATTATTTGTGGTTTTGGTCTAAGTTAACAAATGAAATAATATCGTGCATAGTGCTTTTGATTTCTGTTTACATGAATATTTTGTATGAAAAAAATATGCATCAGTATTTATAAAAAAAAACAATTTTCATTTCATTTTTTTTATAAGGGAGTATAAACAAAAATAAACATAATAAAAAGAAGGGTTGTGAATTGTGTTATTTGTAAAAAGGTAATGTGATATTTTTGAAAGTTTTGTAATAATCTTTTATTTATGGAGTTGACTATTTTCTTTCAATTTTATTTGTGTTATTATTTCATTACCTAAACAAGTGGCATCACATATCGAGGTTTTAGGGAGGATGGTGTGTTTGCTATCAATAAAAATCACACTACCATGGTGAGAGACAATCACAACAACTACCACATTAGTGTAAACCCATTTACATCATTGCATGTGTCATCCAATTAGCTTATTAGCCCCTTAAATTTTTTAAAAATTATATTTGCCCCATTTTTGTTAAATTTAGCTTCGAGTTTTTTTTTATCTGTCACAATTGAAGAATGGACGATTTATTTCGTGTCATGATTAGACTCATTGCTAACCACTATACACTTTGAAAGTCAAAGATAAAGGATTTTCTCAATTACAAAGACTACTATGATCCTATAGAGTATAAAAGTAAAAACACCAATCTTGCGAAAAATGCAGAGTAAAAGAAGATGAATAGAAAATTAATTGGCTTGATTCGAGAATAGATGATCATAGTATTTTCATCACAAGTCTCAAGAAACTGATGCTTATACTCTTTGGAAGAAGCTAAAGGATATGCATCAATCTAGGATAGCACGAAATAAAGCCCTCTTGGCTCCTAATGAGAAAGTGAATATAAAGTTGCAAAGTGAAACTTCCGTAGCACAACACACTAGTGAATTTGAAAATCTAGTAAATCAAATATTTGCAATGGAACTAGATCTTGATGATGAAGTTCAAGTTCTCTTACTTCTTAGTTTTCTTCTTGATAATTGGGAGACTTTAGTTGTCACTCTCAACAATTTGACTTCCAATAAAAAATTTATTATATCTACAATGAATGATATTTTGTTTAATGAGAAAACTAGATAAAAGAATAATAAAAAATAATACTAAAGCCTATAATCAATTTATTTTTTTAGCTGATAAACGTGCATGCAAAAATAGAATAAAGAATGATACTAAAGCATTGTAACGGTACTGGATTTGATCTATATATAAATTAATATTAAAAAATAACATTTGAAGTAAAATTTAAACTTAATAATGTTAGAATAAGACTAAATCTTGAACATAACATTAAAAATAAATATATCTTTGAAACATAACTCTTGTTACACAACCACTGAAAATATATAATCTGGAAATATTATACTATGCAGTTAAGTACTCAACGAAAATGGCATTCATATCATCATAACAGACTTAAGAGTTTCATACCCAATTTATTAATCCAATCACAGGGAACCCAACGAAACACAATAATGAAGATCCAAAATAGAGAGAAACTTGGAAGCAGGAAATAAGCAAAGAAAGCACCTCTCCTCTCCATATTACACCACCTAACATAAAAATTCAAAATCTGTAACTCTTAATATACAAATAGACATATTTAAGCATTAATTTACGAATATCCTTTTTACAAATAAAGAAGGTATGGTTCTTTGTTCTCACCTCGTTTGGCACAGGAACATATTTAACTAAACTGCATGCTCTACATTTAGAACCAATCAACTTTGCTGCTAAACTCATCACTCAGAGAGCTATAGTAACGATGACGATGTTTGCGTTGCTTCCACGTCTTCCATTTAGACATGATTTTCTCTGCATGCAGTTGGTCCAAAATTTCAAAAATCATCGTACATTTGGTGATAAAAAATGGATATATGAATATGTAGTTACGATTTTGTTAACAAAATCACGAATAGTAATTAAGAAAGGAAAAAGAGAGAATTTATTTATGTAAATGTACCACAATTTGTCTGTTCTGGATCAAGTTCAAACTGAGGAACATGAGATATCTTTTGCCATTCTTCTCCTGTTCCTTTCTTGCATCGCTTCTCCAACTTAGGACAATTATTAATACGTAGTTCTTGCAAGTTCCTTAGTTGCTGAAAGCTATCAGGTAGCAATCTTAACTCAGGACAAAACTCAATTTCTAACTTTTGAAGAGAAGTGATGGTTCCCAACCAATCTGGCAAGGATGTTAGACAAGGAAATCGAAATAGAATCAAATTCTGTAGGCAAGGAATGCGTTTTAAATCCTCCAGTATTGTGCAATCTTTATTTGTCCCAGTGATTCTCACACGACGAAGCGAAGTTAGTTGGCTTATACTATTCGGCAAAGCCATCAACTGTGGACAATCCCCAAATTCAAGATTTTCAAGACAAGTTAAGTGTCTCATACCTTCAGAAAAGGATTTGAATTTCCTGCACTGTGCAATAATCAAAGTTCGAAGAGATTTGAGACCTTGCAACACGTGCTCAGAGAGAGACTCAAGTTCATGGCAAGATAAAATTTGAAGCCTATGTAGTGCACTAAGGTTGTTGAGTTTATTAGGTAATGAATTGAGTTTATAGAAGCTAATAATATTGAGATCCTCCATGGGATGCATCTTTTGCAGCGTTCCACTGTTGCTTTGGTAATCAGTGATTGAATTCAACAACTCCTCATTACTTACACATGCTTGAAGGTACACAACACATGGAAGGCATGGCAATGCAAGCTTGGGGACACATGAAATTACTAACTGTGAAAGAATTGGAAGCATCTCCACTCCTTTAGCAGACAACATACCCTCTAAGTTTGGTAAATCAATCAAAGAGAGTCTCTTTAAGGATGTAAAAGCCTTTTCAATCATTGGATCATACGGGTCATCATCAATGTACTTTATATTCATTCCAGATACAGTAAGATTTGTCAAACATGGTAACTTACCAAGTGGTGGAAGTTGTTGACAGTTTTTGCAGTTGAAGAGCATCACATCAACTAAGCCTTTGAGATTACTAGTGTTTCTCATCCAACTAGGCAGCTGTATTCCCATGTAACCGTTCATCCCAAAACTCTTGAGATTAGTGTGTGGCTCAAGGGCTTCAAGTACTTGTTCAGCATTAGCATTAGCATTAGCATTAGCATGATCATTACCCCATGACAAGAATAACCGATTCAATTCTGTTTTAGCAATCAAGTTAGCTTCTTTGGCATCCCTTTCACTTGGCACTTTCTCAAGACATTTAATGTGTAGCTTGCCTCCTAGCTGTAAATCATGTAACTCTGCCAAGCCAAACCCTTCCTTTGAATCAACAACGAAAACACTCAATGATTTTAGACAAGTTAAGGTCCCAATTTTGGAGGGCATTGCTACTAATGACTTGCAGCCTTTAATAATGAGGTGTCTCAGATCCTTGAGTTGTGTCAACTGCTCAGGAAGACTAGAAAGATAAAAGCAATTATCCAGTTCTAGTATTTGCAATTTTTGTAGCCTGCAAATTGACTCTGGCAAAGATGTGATGTCACAGTTACAAAGGTTCAAGTATCTCAAATGTGTTAAATTCTTGAGAGCTGATGAGGGTTGAAAAGAACCTACACGTAATGCTCGAAGCGTATGGCTGGAAGACAAAAAGCCTACATTTGATGGAAGTGGACAAAAATCAAGAAAGGTTCTCAAGGATTCAACTTTCCTTAAGGGAATCATGTTGTAGTTGATTCGCTTATTGGGGTTGAAGTAACTGAAGTGGTGAACTCTGCTTGAACAATTAGTTAAGCTTGTGCCATTGGAAGCCACACATTCTTCCCCCATTATTGACTGAGCAAGATCATGAACTAAATCATGCATCTTGAATTCAATGTAGCCAAATGCATCAGTCTTGACTTCTTGGAAAAATGATCGCTGGTATAGTTCATTCCACACCTCATTGCCAACACGCTCCACCTCCAAATTTCCTCTAGATGAAATAAGCCCATTAGCCATCCATAAAAAGATTAGATTTTTCTTCTTCATCTTAAAATCCTTGGGGAAAATGGCACAAAAAGAAAAACATCGCCTTAATGATAATTTCAAATTAAAGTAGCTTAGCCTCAAAGCAGACATGATTGGATTTGGATTATCATCAGAAATATTCCAAAGCTTACTTTCTTTTATAGAAATCCACTGATTTTCCTCCCTTTTGAAGCGCAAAAGGCTCCCCAATGCTTTGGCTGCAAGAGGCGAACCAACACATTTTCTCACTATCTCCTTGCCAATTTTTACAAGCTCTTCACACTCTTTCTCACTTGGTCCAAATGCATGTTGTTTGAACAATGACCAAATGTGATTCTCTTGTAAACCTTGCAAACGATGAGTAGGGTGTGCTCCCATGATGGATGCAACAGTCTCAAGTCTAGTAGTGACCAAAACTGAAGCACCTTTTGTTTCACTTGCACACTGCAAGAAACACTTGAACTTATCCCATTTCACTTGCTCCTCATTCCACACATCATCTAGAACAAGCAAATACCTTTTGCTTTGCAACACTTCCTGAGCTTTCTTTTGCATTGCTTCTAAAGTCAACAATTTTGGGTTTCGTCCAGTGACAGATTCAACAATAGATTGCAACATTTTCATGGTACTAAAATCATCAGAAACAGAAACCCAAATTTTCAGATCAAAATATTTGCTTACCCTTTCATCATTGAAGACAAGTTGAGCAAGTGTTGTTTTTCCAAGCCCACCAATGCCAACAATGGAACAGATAGAGAGCTCTTGGCAGTTACTAGCTTGACTCACAAGAAACTCAACAATTTGTTCTTTGTCTTGATCTCTACCAAACACTTTGGGTTCAGTGATGATAGAACTTGTTTGGCGCCATTCATCATCTTGAGATCGGTTCTCTACGATTACTTCATGCAATTCAAACCTGCTTCTTTGTTTGGCAATATCATCAAACCTATTAGAAACATCGTTCATCCTCTTGCCAACATCATAACGAGACAAAATCTTCTTAGGATTGGAATAAGTGGCACAATTGCTACCTGCTAGTACATTAAATTCTATTGAATATTCATCCAATATGTCATCTAAGACATATGCTGCATCACTCAGTTTCTGTAGCCAAATCTTGACAGCATGGCTTGTTATTTGCTTTTCTTCAGCATCTTTAAGAACAGCACGAATCAAGGTGAGATTCTCTGATAGGCTTTGGATCTGTTGGTCAACGCCCCAAAAGGTTGCAAGCTCCTCTTGGACAAAACTTCTGAGGTTGTCAATCACGATTCCAAGTAATGCTTCAGCCATTTTCCTGGTACTCACTCTGCAATGAATCAAAGCTTTGAGATGGTTTTGTGCTAGACAATGGATGTGCTAAATCTCAATGATTGTACTTAGTTTAGTATAACTTTTTCTTATCGTCAACAAATGTCACATGATCATAAAAAATTGAAAAATTTACTAATACATTGCAAATGAAAAATATTGCTTGTATCACAGTATATTTTTAATAATACATCTACGTAAAAAAGTAAAAGGGCATTGGATAATTTTTTTAAAAAGTCTTTATAAGAGAAAAAATATTATAAAAATTTAATAATTTTTTTAATAATTTAAAAAATAATTTATTTCTTTAAATTATAGAGAAGTTAAATAAAAAAAGTTTCTCATAATTTTTTTAAGAAATATTTTATTATTTTATATTAAATTTTTTCTCTCTGTAAGAACATGTATTCATGTTTATCTAAATTTAATTGAAGTACAGAAATACAAATATATATGTACATATATTAAACGTAATATTAATTTTTATTAATTTAAATAATTAAAGTGATCATTATTAACATTGCACATGCACAACAGCTGGCGTAGACAGACTTGCAAAATTTTCGGGAGTATTAATTTAAGTTCAATTTCGATGAACTTTTATAAAGTTTATAAGAAACGAAAATTAGTAAAAAAAATTATAAATCAGAAATAATATATGTTTTTCTATGGTTTAATTTTTTCTGAAAAAATGAGAAGCACTGAGCACAGCTTGGTCTCGTGTTCGAAAAACACAGGAAAATTCTCTCATGTGTAACATTAATTTATGCTGGGTAAATAGCTACCGAGAAAATCATTTCTCTCTAGAATTTCGGTTAATAATTGGTTATTGTTCATGTTCTCAACAACGTGTTTCTATCAGGGGAGAGGAACGGCAAAAGGAAAAAAAGTAGAGAAATGTTAAATGTTTAAATTAAAGAAAATATATATATCATAACTAATTAGAATGTTAATTTATACATTAATTAAAAAAAATCAATTTTTATTTTTAAGATTAAATTTAATCATCAAAATAAAAAATATTAAAAACTTATTTATTATAGTAAAGTTATAAAAATGTAATAAATACTTAGATATTTTAATTATTCTTTCTTATAATTATTTGATTAAATTTAGTCTCATTTTATTAAAATATTTGACGTTAATATTTTTTATTAATTACTACAAAAATTATTGACTTTTTACAGTATAAAAAATTTATACTGTTATTGTAGTAAATTTATAAAATTTTATATTATAAATTACAAATTGTATTATATTAGTATTATTAAATGTTATAATTTTTAATAAAAATAATATTTATTGATTTTATATCCTTTTATATACAGTAATTTTTTTTTAATATGATAATAGTATTGTAAATGGAAATCGTTGCTTATATTATACAGTATTAAATATGTATATAAAAAGTAAATAAGAATAAATAGTAAAATTATATATAATGAATACGTTTAAAAGGGTTTATTGGTAATTTATGCAAATAATTTATAATTTTTACAAATTTATTTTATCTGATTTTACAATCAAAGTTATAACAAATTATTATTTATTTTTAAAATAAATGTTTTATCAAATTATGATAATTCAAAATAACAAAGAAAAAATGATAATTCGAAATAACGAAAGTCGTTAACGCTGATCAGCATTGCAGTTGTTGACGACAAAGGTGCACAACAGCAAGACAGGATACACTTTAAAGATTTTCAGGAATTTTGTCAGTTAATTTAATCTTAAAGTCGTTATCGAGAATTGCTTTTTAATAATCTTGTTTGTTTTATTGTTTAGAAGAACGTTAACGTTAATTTTTAAATATTTAAAAAATAATGTTTTTATTAAAAACATTTAGTACTTATGATATTTTTATATAATAAATATTTACTTTCTTAATAAAGTTATACTTTTCAAATATTTAAAATTAGTTTTACGAATTATATTAACTGAACTGTATATCAACTTGAATATACTATCACCCTTTTTAACATATTTCTTTTAATATATTTTTAATTGCTAATTGAAATTTATTAAAAGCTGTAAAAATATAAAAATATTAATTTTAAAATAAAAAAGTGAGACCTACAATATTCAATAAAAAAAAGTGCAAGTTGACTGCATGTTGACAAAGTGTGAATTTTCAAGGTCTCGTATTCGAAAAATACCGGAATATTCTCTCTTTTGTAAGATCATCTTCATTAATTTATGCTTGGTGCGTTGCAACCAAGAAAATTGTTTCTTTTTAGAATTTCAGTTAATTATTGGTTATTGTTATCGACACTCTTCGGATCAGAGTAGTATGGGAGAAAGAAAAGCAAATAGGAAAAAGTTCAAGAACCAAGCAAGCAAGAAGGAACACTCAATGAATTTCAAGAATCCTATGACATCGTGATTTTTTAAAATCATAACTAGTTCTTGATTTCTCAGAAAAACTTTGGTCAAAGAGTACCTTAGATTTTGTCTAATTTTCTTGCATTCATTCCTTCTCTTTCTCACATAAGGTTTTTGAAGCTTTTGGCTAATTGAACAGAAGCATCAGAAATTGAGTACCTTGATAATGCTTTTAATTTCTCTCTGCGTTAAATATAAGATAAACTTAATTCTTTATATTTATAATTTTAAATATTAGTAATTAAGATTAAGATCTCTCAATCATTTTAATTTTTTTGGTCATAACGTGGTAATAAATAATGACATGTTAAGTGACATACAAAATGATATTTTTTTAAGATATTTTACTAATAGTTCATTTTTTTAAACTATTAAAGTATATATTCACTTTTTTTTTACTTTTTAATAATATTCTTTTGACTATTTTTTCTTCTTTCTTAACTTTCTCTTTTTCCTTTTTTTCCCCTCTCTATAATTAAAAACCTTTTAAGCTTTGAGATGTATTCAATCCCAACCTAAAATCTTAGATGTCATATTTCTTGACATGTCCAAATTCATCCTCGTCTTATATGAAACTTTGATTTTAAGAAAAATTATTAAATAATATAAATATTTAAGTTAGCATACCGACCTGTTAATTCGTAGGTCCAATATGTATAATCCATGATTTAAACAGATTGGAAAAATAAAAAATAAAAACTCACATTTAAGGAAACTTTTTTTTTGGTTGATTTTAACTCGATTTATATGTTAAACCGGCTTAGGCCCATGTCATGAAACCCAGCTCTACACGTGTTTGGAAAATTTGCTTTTATTGGTAGAAGAATACAAACATTGCCGTGTTTATGTTGATGATGGAGTTTGAGTTCATGAGCATGTTTTCCATTTCTTACATGCGTTAAAATTAAAAGGGTTTGGGTATCTTTAAAGCATGATTTATATCTCGGTTTTTATGAGCCTTGTAATATTTGAAAATTTTGCTTTAATTGGAAGAAGAATGTGGTGCTGGAGGAATGAAGGGAGGGAGCAAGAAAAATAGTATTTTAATTGCCAAAAATAAAAATAATGTTGTTCTTACTAAGAATCTGGTTCCTGGTGAAACTGTTTATATTTTTAAGATCAGAAGCAGCATAATACTTTGAAAAGTTTGAATAAGCATGGTGAGATAATTTTTTATTTGTTCAATTTTCTTCTATGTGAATTGAAAGAATGGAAAATTTGTGTTACAGTGTCCCAACCATGAAATAATTGTTTGATTGTTTCTGATTAAACCACTTGTATTGGAAGATTTTAATTTGACTTAGCATGATTTATGTTAGGAGTAGGAATGATTTGTTTCATTATAGTTATTTTATCCTTGTTTCATGGTGCTGTGGTTTCATGGAGCATTCTGTGGCCATAAAACAGGGGACCAAAATGGGAATGGTTCTCTGCAGGTATACCAAAAGAGAAAAGTTATCCTAGTGCATGCTTAATTTTATTTATTTTGAAGATTTTTGTTAACTTTTTGAGGGAATTTTTAAAAAACAGACTATTGTTTTAAAGTTTAAATATTTTCAAACATATACTTAATGATTTTAAGGTCCAAATTTAAAAAGAAATAAACGAGTATCATTAGTGTTATATTATTTGGGTATGTAGACCTTTCGATAGTTGAAGGGAACATTTATCTCCATGGACTTGAAATTAAAGGGGCATATATATACCCATTTATCTATTACCTACAATTGAAATTTCTATCTTCATGGTTTGAAAATGGCTTTTCATATAACATTTTCTGTGATGACCATTGGGGGATTGTTAGAGCTCCATTTTTGTAAGCGATTAGCTGTTTTCTCCACCTGAAATAACATTCCTCGTAAATTACACTATACATTGATTTTAAAAAAATGGAAGGAAATCCTAGCAAAGAATAATGTTTTTTTAATATTTTGAAGAAAATAAATACATGTTACTTCTTCATTTAATACTTTTTGTAGTAAGAAGATTATTAGATAATATGTAAGAGAATATAGCATAGCCTATTATGAGAAACTTATCCAAACTTAATTTTAAATTTGTAGGATAATTAGTATATAATATATCAATCAATGCAAAAGCTTGAACTTAGGTGCTCTTCGAAAGGTGCTTATTGAAAGAATCCAACTTGATTACGTCTTTGGTCCAGTTGGTCTTCCAAATAACCATTAGGAGGGCTAAAAGCTGAAGAGTTCTGCCACATATTGCACCAACCCAGAGACCCTAAGCCACCAAACCAATTTGTTAATCCCAGTCCTCTACGCTCAATAGTATACATGCATTTATATATTCAATGTTTAACAGAACATATTGTTATATTATGCATAAGAAGCCTTTGATGATGAAGAAAAGAAACATTTATAATGGCAATATTCTAAGTTCTAACCTTGACTCCAAACTGCTGCTTGAAACCAAGAAAAATTCCAACAGGGAGTCCAACAATGTAAAAGCAGACCAGGTTTATGTAAGCAATCATGACCTGCCATTCACTTCCTATGGCCACACCTATTCAAATGTCAGAAAAAATAAATTTCACTAAATCAGCATTGTCATTTTTATATAATCTTTTAATATGTGTTTAA